AAAATTATTAATTTTTTTTTCGTTTTTGATATAAAGTTGACCAGAGAAAAGTAGATTTTGCTACGTTCTTTAATTCCGTATAAGAATTTTGCATTTCTATAAAGCCAATTAAAAGATTAGTTCTAACAAAGAATGCCGATAAAACAGACGGCTTTAGCATCCCCTTAATGATCTCACAAAGTATAAGATAAAATTCCCAAACCTCATCATCATAAGGAATTAGATCTCCTATAATGAAAGTTAAATAACAAGTGTTTGTTGGCTGAATTGTTGTTGTTCTCGGCTCTTTTCTTTGGGTCAAGGCAAGTAATTTACGAAGACCTTTTTGGCTATGATATCTTTTACTTTTCACTCTTACAGCCATACTACTACTACTTCCGCTTGTACCTACTACCTTCCGTTCTGGCGGACAGCGCCATCTTCGCTCGATCTCTTACTAGCTAGTTACTCGCTCTAACATCCTGCCCGCCTTGAAAGGCGCAGTCTTTCAACAATTTATCTTATACTATACAAAGAAAGAAACGTTCAGTCTTATTCCTCCAAAGGTAAGATACAGATCTTCTGTATTGCGCGTTTGGTTAAGCCAAACGATGTCTTAATTTCTAAGGTTCTAATAAGTCCATCGGATCCCTTGAACATCTCGGTGATACGCCCTAATCTCCATTGTAAGGGCGGAGCATTGTCATCTCGTAGCATTACAAGGGCGCCTATCTTGAGATGAGGATGCTCCTGTAACTTCTTCCATTTTTGTCGGGTCTGTAGCTGTGTAACATATTCTCGAGCCCAGCGCTTCCAAAATCCCTGTACTAATTTAGATATCAGTTGAAATCGAGTTAGTCTGTTTAACGGAACCTCGGCTAGCTGGGGCTCCGGCATCGCAGTTAATGAACTACCTATCAAAAAATGTCCCGGAGTTAACGCATTTAAGTCCGCTGGATCTCCTGACAAAGGAGTAAGAGGTCGTGAATTAAGTATTGCTTCTATTTGCGCAAACACTGTAGTTAACTCTTCGAAAGTTAAGCTAATCTGACCCACAACCGTCTTCAAATGAGACTTTGCTGATTTCACAGCCGCTTCCCACAATCCTCCGACATGAAGTGAATAAGAAGGAATGAATGTCCATTTAATGGACTGTTCGGCTGTAAAATCTAACACCTTGTTTCTTAAAGATTCAGATTGTAAAAACCTTGCAATATCATTCAATTCGTTTCTGGCTCCCACGAAGTTTCTCCCATTGTCCGAGTAAAGATTACAACTTTTTCCGCGTCGTGCGATAAATCGTTTCAAAGTGTTAAGAAATGCTGCTGTAGATAAGTTCGAAACGACCTCCAAATGAACAGCCTTAGTGGCCATGCATACAAATACGGCTAAATAAGCCTTTCCATTCTTATTACGAGAGATTCTAATTGTAAATGGACCGGCATAATCAATTCCAGTGTGGGCAAACGGACGACCGGGATTCACTCGTGTGGCAGGTAAGTTACCCATAATCTGATTTAATCGCGGTGGAGTCTTGCGAAAACATAATATACATTTGCGTAATACTCGACGGATTTCGCTCCTAGCGGATACAATCCAATAAGATTCCCTAATTATCGCACTTATCGTATTAAGCCCTGCGTGCAAATTTTTGTAATGAGTTTCCCTAATGAGTAGAGTGGAAAGGATATGATTTGAGGGTAGGATAGTAGGAAATCGCTGCTCATAACTTAGAAGGGCGTTCTTCAGTCGTCCTCCAACTCGCAATACTCTCTCCTTGTCCAAAAACGGATTCAGTGCCAAGAGGCGACTGGTACGAGGAATACTCTTCTCCTTTCCTTCCAATGTTCCGATCTCCAGGGCGAAAGCTTGTCGTTGCGCTAGTTTGACTAGTGCTGTATTTGCCCTTATTAAGTCATCCACCTCCAAAGGTCCAATGCGACGCTGCATGCGGTTATTACGGCAGTTCTCCATAAATCTATAACATTGTGCGACCACTCGTCGCAACTTGGGCAACGAAGAAAATCTTTCAAACAGCTCATACTCGTCGCTCGTCCTCGTCAAGAATATGTTTCCCTTTATCTTCTCTTTTGGATCCTCCGGGGTTTCCCTTATAAACGCGTTCGGCCTCTTGTCTGGACTTGCTGCTAGCCATGTGGGTCCTGACCACCACATCTCCGCCCGAGGTAAATCCCGAGGGTCTATACCCCGCGAAAGAACGTCTGCTGGATTTGATCCTGTCGGTACATGCCGCCACTCCCTTTGACATGTCAAACCTTGGATTTCTGACACACGATTTGCTACAAAAACCTTGTATCTCGCTGGGTCGCCTTGGACCCAGTGCACCACGATGCTTGAATCACTCCAGTAGTTGTACCTTGAAATTGGAAGTGTAATAATCTTCCTTACCTTAAAGGCGAGTCTCGCCAGTAATACTGCACCACATAGCTCCAATCTCGGTATGGAGATAACTTTTAGCGGAGCAATGCGAGATTTAGCTATCAACAACCTGGTTGTTCTATTTCCTTCTGTATCAGTCGAACACAAATAAAGACAAGCACCATAGGCTGACTGCGAAGCGTCACAGAATCCGTGCATCTCTACCTGCTTTGCTTCCTTGCTCACTACCTGACGTGGCATTTGAATCTCCTCCATGGCGTGAAGCCTCTCTTGATAAGAACTCCACTCAGCCAATAGGTCGGTGGGAATTTTATCGTCCCATCCCACATTTAGTTTCCATAGTTTCCTCATAAATAGTTTGGCTTTCACTACTACTGGCCCTATAAGGCCCAATGGATCGTAGATTTGCACGATAGTTGAAAGAATGCTGCGCTTTGATCTGCAAGTTCCCATTGGTAACGTCACCTTGAATTTAAAGGTATCTTCTCTTGAATTCCATCGAATTCCTAGGGTTTTCGTTTCCTCACTTGACGTAAGGGGCTGTTCTGCTTCCGAGCTTGCTAGTAGTTCTTGAGCGTTGGAGTGCCACTTCCGTAGTTCCATCCCAGCTGTCGCTAGGATCTGCATCACCTCGCATTTTAGTTGTTGCAGCTTCTGCTTCGAATCACTTCCGGTGAGCCAGTCATCCATATAGAATTCGCTGAGAATTGCTGCCGCTGCCTCGGGATAAACTTCTGCACTCTCTATTGCTAATCGCTGAAGACACTTTTGTGCATGGTATGGAGCCGATGCTGTTCCGTAAGTTACTGTTGTTAACTCGTACGAGCAGACCGGATCTTCAGGATTTTCCCTCCAAAGGATTCTTTGCAACGCTCTATCCCTTTTCGCAATCTTGATTTGGCGAAACATTTTCGTTATGTCTGCGGTTAGGACATAGTTGTGTTGCCGGAATCGTATCAGGGTTTCTGCCAGTTCGGGTTGTATTTTAGGTCCGACCATCAACAAATGGTTTAAAGCTTCTCCTGATGACGTTTGGCACGACGCATCAAACACTACCCTAAGTTTGGTGGTAGTGCTCTCCTCCCTTGTTACCCCATGATGTGGTAGATAGTTTACGACCTCTTGATTCCCTTGGGCTTCGGGAACCAATTCCATGTGGCCCATGGTTCTGTATTCTCGCATGAACTCCAAATATCGTAGATGCAATACCGAGTCGTTCCCGAATCTACGTTCCATTGATTTTAGTCTTCTCCTGGCATTATACTCGGAATCTCCTAATCTCTTGATATCTCCCTTTATTGGCAGAGATACTACGAATCTTCCTTCTTCATCTCGATTCGTCGTTGCATCGAAATGCTTCTCACAAGCTACTTCCTCGGGTGTTAAGCTCCTATTGAGTTCACACCGCTCAATCTCTCAAAATTTCTCCAACCGTCTATTTAGATCTTCATTTGTTATGGTACAGCAAGTGTTAGTAAATGTTGTACCTATGGGTGTCAGGTTTCCTCCTATGATCCATCCCAAGTTGGTTTGCTGGAAGATTGGTTGATCTTTGCTCAGCTGGATTCTTCTTCCTCGTAGAATGTTCCAAAACACGGACGTCCCCAACAACAAGTCTATCTTCTGTGGTATGTGGAAAGTAGGATCAGCTAATTGGGAGACGGAAATGGATTCAGGTAATCGCAATTTGGATATTTCTACTCGATTGTCTGGAATTCTACTAGTAATCTGGTCAATCACTGTAAACTTTAAGGACTCGGAATAATTTGACGTTTTCGATTTAATCATTGCCGTTACCACTTCGCTTGTGAGTGTGGTGTTTCCTCGAAATCCAGTTACCTTTCCGGCCATTCTCACTGTCTGTAAATTAAGTTTG